TAGATCGTATGAAAAGTTTAATGATGGCGTGATGAGTAAATAGTAAACTGGAATGGAGGAGGCTGTGGTCTGATTTATGCCACTGTTGTTTTGTTTCTCTGCGGAGGGACACCATAGCTACATAAAGAGTCACGATACTTGGTCTCCGGGTCGATATTTGAACCCAGGACTTCCCGAATACGAAAAAGGAATGGTATCCCCTCGGCCTTGATTTGTTTCACCGTCTCTACCGCTTGGTTTATGGACATGACGCAGAATCCCGTTACATCGGGCGTATTAAGGAGTGCACGGTTTGAGTCCCGATGAATGTCAAGACAGTCCTCTCATCTCATTCGACAGTGAATGACCACAGTAGTTTATGCACCTTATAACCGAAAATGGATCCGATTAATGGTGTGGAATAGCCTGTCTTGTCTCACGTGCTTGCTGCCTCCATAATCAAGGAGCCGATGGACGTAGCAAGGATCTCTGAAACGTCGGTAAACTTCTACCAGACTACACGGCGCAACGACCCAGAAGACAGTCATCTTCAGATTCACCGCCGTTAAAACTTCAGATCCTGCAAGAACTTTTCTGGTTTATACTGATCACCATTGTTGGTGTTGTTTAGTCACATGGTGATAATGGAGGAGACATGAAATGCAAACAAATTTAACGCAAATCTTTTGGAAATCAACTAAATTGAAAACCGAGGAGATGGAAATATAATATTAAAATAGTTGTTCAGATCGGTGTTGAACTTTGTAGTAAAAACCTGCTGTAGAGATATATAAATGGCGATTAGCTGTGTTATATTTATTTGTGTGTGGAAATACCATTCTATGCTGTGAGATTTGTTAAAATTGTAATGGTAATCTTATAGACACAGCTAATGGAACTCCTTTTTGTAGACGTTACCCTGTACTATTTACGAGTAATCTCAGCATTAAAGTTGATGCACGTCCTCGCCCCGATAGACACCGAGCAATGAGCTGGCCAACAGCAGCGTTTCGCCAAGTTTCGCAACGCGTTTATTGAGCATTGTGTAACGTCTTACACTTCGCTGCAGACATGTGAAACGCCACTCAGATCAGCGTTTCCAGTCCTGAAGTGGAACAGTAGCATTGACCACTAACGACAGTGAAGCGATTACTAAAGGTCGTTACATTTTGTGTCGTGGCCGATATTACAGGTGATTTATAAGGCCGACTTGTTCACCCTGGGGCTGGGGGTATCGACGAGCGAAAGTCCACTCAACATGCTTACATGCTTGTTTTTAACCTTTTCGCTGAGGTTGCCATGCGTGTTCTGCAGGTGACTGGCATCGTGGCAGTTTGCCTGTGTGGGCAAACGGAGTCTGTAAAATGTCGTAGGCATTTGTAATGTCGAGCGAATTGAAGCCTATGCCCAAGAACAACGGGAAAATACACCCATGTGGTATGAAATTCGATTCTTTTACGCTTTGTGCCTGTCTGTCGTTTGGGTAACTACTTGCAGAAGTTCAGTGTCATTCGAGTCTGCGAACGTACCGAAGCGTAGGTGAGATTTCAGATTCTCACGGCTGTGAGTATTAAGATGACTTGTATTCTGGGTACTGCGCCGTTTAGTCTGATCCAGACTGTGTGGCTGCGTTTGATACAGCTTATGCAGTTGACCAGTGCCCAATTGTTATGTGTATGACAACACACCATCCTCAAGATATTTAGAATTAACTCATAATTCTTGTGCTTTCTGTAGAGCAAGAATTGCATTTTGCACCTGTGTAAAATAAGTGACAATTTTTTTGGGGGGGAGCTTATCTTGATTTTCATTGTTTTGTTTAGTGGATGGGAAGGTAGCAATTTTCTAAATGAATAATAACTTGCATTTTAAGAGTTAAGTCTTCTGCTTATTCCACCATGAAACTCATTTCTATTTGTTATTGTCGTTTCGTGATACTTAGTTTTTCACATGGTTCTGAAAGTTTTGAAACGTTTCTTAGACCTAAGTAGGATTTGTGTTTCAAACAGCGTCTTCTGGGATGCAACGCCGTGTAGTCTGTTAGGAGTTTACCAGCGTTTCAGAGGCATCGAGGACCTGTGGAGCGTTGGTAAACTTATACCAGACTACACGGAGCTACAATTCAGAAGAGAGCCATCTTCTTTCTGAGACCTAAGTTTTCAGTTAATGGTGTGTTAAGAGCTCCGCCTTGCTGTGAAATGTAAGACCCTTGGTTTAAAAGTGGAAGACTGCGGTGGCGGTAGCAGAACCCGTTTCTGTTTCCCAATGGTTAGTTGAGTTTCGAGATCAACTGACCCACTTCTGGCTTCCTGACTCCGGAGGCACGCCTCTTCTCTCTCCTCGAGCTGGTCAGACAAATTCCTCAGACGTGCGACACCCGAAACGTACCTCCTATATAAGTCGACTGTCCCCTGCACCCTCAGTCAGTTTTTCACACACACATACACAGCATGGCGTACTCGGTAAGTCTAGACAGAATATTTGTCGAATAATGACAGAAATAGTGAAATGAGTGACCGCTCCGGGTTTCCGACATTGGACGGACTTATAACATTAAGGTATACCTTAGAGAAATGGTTCGTGAGGGTTTATTATGGATTGAATTTCCTCAGACTATGCAGCCAGTGACGTGCATTTTGTTTTTATGGCGATGATCATTCGGGTTTCATAACAAGTCAATAACCATTTGAATGATCTTCAGCCATTGATATGAGATTGAGTTTGTTAATCTCTTTTTATAAATGCGTTTGTGTGAACTTAAGATCCATATCGTTTACAAGAATCATTGGTTTACCTCAAAGATTTATCCAAGTAAATACCAAAGTTACTAAACTTCTTCTATCCACAGGAGAATTGTTATATAGACTTTCTTGTAATTCAGAAACATGATTCATAGTTCCATGAAGTTATACTAACTTTGTTTAAAATAATCACAGGATTGCTGTTATATTAGCCAATCGTCCATTTTGAGGGAGGACATACATTGCAGATCTTCGGTGACGACGTTCCCAGAAAAATAGCTTTACCTAAGCAAGCAATTTAGGACACCTCGTAGGCTATCAGTAACTTCTTCGTATGTGAAACATTGTGTTTGTTTGGAGTAGGAACTGAATTTTAAATATTTTTGATTACGGTAAACGTTTCGCATTTTGTTGCGATATTCAGGATGCTGACAACGTTCGTGTGTTCACGCAACTTTGATATTGAGTACCTGTCCAGAGATACTTGTTCATTGTGTGCAGACTGTTGTTACCGTCAGAGGACCCACTACTCGGTTTATGAAATTGACAGAGAAAGACTTGGTATTTTGGTATTAAAGTGCATATTGGATTTATAGTCGACGTGTCCAAACAATGAGACTTTATGAACCGACGCGTCACGGCCAATTTACGTGCTTATTCCCCATTTTCCTCTCTTTTTTCTGTCCTGCGACTCCTCATCATTACGACGTTCCACCACGACCCTGTCGCAGGAACACGCTCAGACTTTCTCCCGCTCCGGGTTTTGACGATGTCTAACCGCTTCTTGGCTTTCAGCTGTTGGTTTTTGCCGCCGTCGTGGCCGTTGCCAGGGCCGGTATCTACGGCGCTCCTGCCGTCGTGTCCCCAGGAGTCCCTCTCACGAGGGCAATTGCCGCCCCCGTTGCTTACGCCACTCCGGAGAGCCGAAGCGGAGACGTCGTCCAGGGCAGCTACAGCCTGGTGGAGCCTGATGGCACCCGTCGTACCGTCGAGTACACCGCTGACCCCGTCAACGGATTCAACGCCGTCGTACACCGTGAGCCCGCTGTGGTCGCTAAGGCTGTTGCCCCCGCTGTAGTTGCCGCCCCCGCCGTCGCTAAGATCGCTGCTCCTGTCGCTTATGCAGCTCCCGTTGCCCGTGTTGCTGCTCCTCTGGCAGTTGCCGCTCCCATTGCTCGCTACGCAGCTGCCGCTCCGGCTTTGAGCTACAGCGCCCCCATCGCAAGAGCTTCAATTGCCGGCCCAGCTTTGAGCTACGGCGCCCCCATCGCCAGTGCTGCATATGCCACCCCATCTTTGAGCTACGGCGCCCCCATCGCCAGAGCTGCAATTGCTGGCCCAGCTTTCAGCTACGGCGCCCCCATCGCCAGTGCTGCATATGCCACCCCATCTTTGAGCTACGGCGCCCCCATCGCCAGAGCTGCATATGCCACCCCATCTTTGAGCTACGGCGCCCCCATCGCCAGAGCTGCATATGCCGCCCCATCTTTGAGCTACGGGGCCCCCATCGCCAAGGCTGCATATGCTGCCCCCGCTTTGAGCTACGGCGCTGGCTACATCGGCAACGCTGTGCACACCGCCTACACCGGACCTTGGAGACGTCGTCCAGGGCAGCTACAGCCTGGTGGAGCCTGACGGCACCCGTCGTACCGTCGAGTACACCGCTGACCCCGTCAACGGATTCAACGCCGTCGTACACCGTGAGCCCGCTGTGGTCGCTAAGGCTGTTGCCCCCGCTGTAGTTGCCGCCCCCGCCGTCGCTAAGATCGCTGCTCCTGTCGCTTATGCAGCTCCCGTTGCCCGTGTTGCTGCTCCTCTGGCAGTTGCCGCTCCCATTGCTCGCTACGCAGCTGCCGCTCCGGCTTTGAGCTACAGCGCCCCCATCGCAAGAGCTTCAATTGCCGGCCCAGCTTTGAGCTACGGCGCCCCCATCGCCAGAGCTGCATATGCCACCCCATCTTTGAGCTACGGCGCCCCCATCGCCAGAGCTGCATATGCCACCCCATCTTTGAGCTACGGCGCCCCCATCGCCAGAGCTGCATATGCCACCCCATCTTTGAGCTACGGCGCCCCCATCGCCAGAGCTGCATATGCCGCCCCATCTTTGAGCTACGGGGCCCCCATCGCCAAGGCTGCATATGCTGCCCCCGCTTTGAGCTACGGCGCTGGCTACATCGGCAACGCTGTGCACACCGCCTACACCGGACCTTACACCAGCTATTCCTACTAGGATGTCCCATCGTGCCCCATGCTTTGTATAATTTATTGTTCTATTATTTTGTAATCACAATACACGCTCATTACTTAAACATTACTGGTGTTGTCACTGCCTCTCGGTCTTCCTGTATCATGAAGCAAGTGGCCAGTCAGTTGACGGGTTGTTCAACCGCACTGAAGGAGGCACTCATCCATCGTGCGGTGAAACTGTCCGTGCTGTCTGCTGGGTTGTGACGTCGTGAGGGTTTGTGCTCGGGTACCAACGTTTCTGAAGAGCATAACTGCCTCACTCTTCAGGGTTAAAGATGGAGGCAGTATGCTCCACCGAAACGTTGGTTCTCACGACGTCGCAGTCCAGAAATCTACCATGGAGATTTTCCATGTATGTAATTGAAGAATATTTTATAACCCTGTCGCCACGTTAAACCTGCATTTTTCTGACCATTTCCTCGCATAAAGAAAAATAAACGTGATCCCACAACATCCAAATTCGCCGCGTCCCAGTTCCTGAAGATCTGCGTTAACGGGGGTGACTTTCGGGAATGCACTACTTGTAAATGTAGCCAGACTGACATCTGATTGTCTGCACAAGGCCAAGCGAACGCCTTTCACTGAATTTGCATCATTACGTTTCATTTTCTGGACCTGTATTGCTATTTCCACGCCTTGATTCGGTGACCTTTGCACCGCCAGAACATGATGCGCCTTAATTCAGATTTAACTGATCACTTGCTGTCCGCATGGCCGATAACGGGGAGTGATCTTCCTCAGTCCCTCAAGGATAACAGTAAAGTGCATCCTGGCTTTAAACGGGATGTTGAGAAAGGACACGTGTAGGCGTGTGGCCTCCACTTCCGCAGAAACTTGACGCTTTCAGTGTCCTTCTGAGGTTTATAAGTGAAATTACTTTCGTTTGTCTTCTTTATCTGTGGGCTTTCAGACTTTTAGAAATTTTCATTGGTTACTTAGCAACTGCGGTGTATGGCAGCGCGGCGAGTCAAGGTACAGTAGAGGGCACAAAGTTAAACGCACGGCCGGTATGCAGCCATGTTTTGAAACATGTCTGTTCTGATATCACCGTCACCCTGAGGTGATTAATTTGCTCTTAAGTAGAAAAATAGAAACACGTAACTTACCCTCTGAAACTCTGTAAACTAGGCCGCTGTATCTCCCTTGTGGCTGATCCTGACAACCACGGGCAATCTGGCTGCGTGATCCGCCACGGGA